GGGGGCTGGGAACAGGCCTCTCTCCGGGTGGTATTTCCCACCAGAATGTCCGGGACAAAGCAAAGAGAGTCACTGGGCCCCGGGACGCAGGGCGGGGTGGCTGGCGGGCCTGGGTACCGGTGCCAGTGCTGTCTGCACAGGACAATGGGTGGAATGTGGCCTCCTCTCCATGAGGCTGACACTTGACATCTCAAGACAATGACTTTCAAGAGGCTTTGTTTTTTCCTCAGTCCAACTTTTTCTTGCCACCTCCCCGAGCAATTGTTCCTAGGGCTGGCGGGTGAGCAGTCGCCCCCTGAGCTCCTAAAGGGTTGTATTTGGAAAGATGGGAAACAATGCACAAAAGTAAGAGAATGCAGAAATACCAGAGTGGCATTCAGGGACCCCAGGGAGAGAGGCGCGGCCACGGAGGCTTCCTCCGATTGATTTTTCCCAGCGCCGGCTCAGGTCCCAGGAGAGATTTGGTGCCACCAAGAGCAGCCCGCCTAGGAGCACTGGCATTTGCCACACGGCTGCAGCCTGGGGTCAAATGCGTCCCACACACCACCTCACTCCCATTTCACATAAAAGGAGATCGAGGTTCTCAGTGGCTGCAGCAGCAGCCTCAGAGCACACACTAAGTAGACGGAGCCAGGATCTGACCTCGGGGCCACCAGAGTCCAGGCGCTGGCACTCTGGCCAGTCCCGGGGTCTCGGTTCTCCTGATCACCCACCCCGCCCACTCACAAGGGGGCCACATAATTAGTCCACGAGGGAGGGCACTTTCATCCCCTGGCCCAGCACTGTGCCAGGCCCTCTGGGCCAAGGTGAAGGGAGGGACGCCTCACAGAGGGAGGCAAGACAGAAGAACCCGTGAGGCTCTCAGAGAGGTCCGACAGCCCCTGGCCACTGTAGGGGCTGAATAATGCCCAAAGGTGTCCACGCCCTAATCCGCAGAGCCTGTGACCAAGCAGGCTTACACGTGACTAAGGTAAGGAGCATGAATTGGAGGAGGTCGTCCCATATTATCCAGGTGGGCCTGACAGAACCACAAGGATCCTCAGGCCTAAAAGAGGGAGGCAGGAGCGGGCACATCAGAGTCACAGAGAGCCTGGAAGATGTTACGCTGGCTGCAGACGGATGTGGCCACCAGCTCGGGACTGCGGAACAGCAAGGACATGGCCCTGCCCCGGAGACTCCAGAAGGAACCAGCCCTACCCTCACCTGGTTCTGCCCCAAAAGCCCCGTTTCAGACCTCTGGCCTCCAGAACTGAAAGACAGGACGTCTGTACTGTTTTAAGTGTGTGGCAATTTGTGACAGCGGCCGTAGGAAACTGGCACAGCTGCCAGGTGGAAAAAGGTACACAAAAAAATACACCTCTATCACGCCCAACACATGCCCAAGACTCCGTTACTATTAATAATGATAATAAAAATCAAACACTTTCTGTGGCAGAGCTAAGTACTTCACACATCACTTGGCATAAATTCAGTAAGCTGGGAAATGCCTTCTTTTCCCAGCCCCCCAGCCTTATTAACAAATATTCATTAGGGACAGATGGTCTAGTCACAAAAATTATTCTAATAATTGTGATGAGCTGAACCACCCTCGGCTCGCCAGAGCTATTCAGCTCCTGAGTTTAGAAAGCAAGAAGCCATTTTGTGGGATCTGCTGAGGGCAACCCCAGGCCACCCCGCTGTCAGAACATACGACGCCTGCATCTCCAATGGAGACGCCACATAAATTAAGTGCCTATTGGATACCAAGGCCAGGGTACAGGAAAAAGTGTCTGCTATGCCTCCATTCCACAGACAAGGAGACAGAGTCATCCGCTCAAGGTCACGCAGGGAGGGAGGACAGAGCCAGGTCTGAGCACAGCCAGCCCCATGGGGCTCCAGAGCCAAGTTTCTTTCCCACGGGACAATACGGCCTCTTGGATTCAAAGGGCAGGATAATTTTTATTTTTGTTTTTTTGAGATACAGGGGCTCGCTCTGTTGCCCAGGCTGGAGTACAGTGGTGAAATCATAGCTCACTGCAGCCTCCTGGGCTCAGATGATCCTCCAACCTCAACCTCTGAGTAGCTGGGACTACAGGTGCCCACCACCATGTTCGGCTTTTGGGTTCTTTTTTTTTGGTAGAGACAGGGTCTCACTATGTTGCCTAGGCTGGTCTCAAACACCTGGCCTCAAGCGATCCTCTTGCCTCAGCTTCCTAAAGTGCCGAGATGACAGGTGTGAGCCAATGTGCCCAGCCTAGTCAGAATTGAGCTGGGGGTGGGGAGGATGGCCTAATAAGAGGACCAGGGTTAGAGGCCTAGATCACTTAGCGTCCCTGGCTGGAGTGGCACCAGGGCATCTTCGAAAAACGCAAACATGGCCGCCCACTGCCCAGCCCCAGCCCATCAGCTGCCCCTGCTACTCCAAGAACTACCCCCAGAAGAGCCTGGTGGAAGCACCTCAGCCCCCACCACACTGCACTGCAGCCAGCCTTGCCCATGGGCCTCTCGGGTCTCCTCAAGGCTCAGCCGTGGCTGGCTCCCTCCCTCCAACTACCATCCCCACCCTCCCAGCAAGGCCCTGGGGCCAGGGCATCTCAGAGCCCAGCAAAACCCAGGACAGGCTCCAGCAGCCCCACACTAAGTACCGCCACCCCCACAACCTAGCCTTGCTTTTAAGTCATTATTCGGTCCACAGCAGTCTTCCCTGCCAGACTGAGGCCTCGGACGTCCCGCTGGGCCCAGCTTAAATCTTTCATTTATGCTCTTTTATTCATAGTTACAGCTGGTGCCTGACATGCTATACATTTTTGATAAGTGAGCAGAAGGATGGAAGGGAGGGAGGGAAGAAAGGAAGGAGAGAAGGCAGGAAGGAAGGAGGGAGGGAGGTTCTTTTCTCAGGGTGGTCTCCTCACCTGTAACACAAATACTGTATAATAACACTGATGACTTCAAGAATCACTGCAAGGATGAGAAATGCACACTAGCTGGATGACTTGGGGCACCTGATTCCCCTCCTCTAGGCCTCAGTTTCCCCACCTGCAAATGGGGACAACTCAGTGCCCAGAGCACAGGACCTGCTGACCTGGCACCCAAATGCGGCCCTGCCACGGACTCGCCGTGTGGCCCTGGGGAGCTGCTCCCACGCTCCAACCTCTGTTTCCTCTTCTGCGGAATGGGGAACAGGGGCCCGACGGGGGGAATCGCCTAGTCCCCCTGGCTCTGGGGCCAGGGGTCAGGCCCATCCATTCTAAACACCCCACGCCTCCTTCCAGCCAGACCAGTCACAACCGGCCCCGCCACAGACTGTGACAGGTTCCCAGGACTCTGCAAGGGAGCCTTTCGATAGGTCCTTTCCTGGGGGACCTCTCCATGGTCCAGGGAGCCCTTGGAGGGAGGGGCGGGGAGGCAGAGGGACACAGAGAAGCCTTCCTAAATAAGGACCCTGAAGAGGTGGCAGCTGAGAGCCAGACACGGGGGTTCTAGTGACAGACAAGCGGTTCAAGTCCCCACCCCTCAGCCAGGGAGGGTAAAAGGGCCTGTGAGCCTGCTTCAACTACCCCCAAAGATGAAACAGATAACAAACCTCAACCTCAGAGTCTCGCCAGAGTGAAGGGCCGCACTCATTTCGCCATCACTGATATTACTTTATCTGTCAGCACATGACGATAAAAGAATCTCCTCCAACACACAGACCACACTGTACTTTCCTGACATTTTGCCGAGACCATGCCTCTCACTCCCTCCAGCAGAGGTTAGCCTGCCTTTCCCGAGCCTCTTCAGGCTTGCTCCCAGCTCAGGGCCTTTGCACGTGCCGGCCCCTCATCACACAGCACAGGACAGCTCCGACATCACCTCCTCGGAGAGCCCACCTTGGCCACTCTGGCTGAAGCGGCCTCCTCCAAGTCCCACCCAGTCACTCTCTACCTCGACAGCCTGTTATAACATCCTGTGGAGTAGACAGCACAACTGGCGTGTTATTTAGTACATCTTGCTAGTTCAGTGTCCTCCCTACACCCCGCCGGCTCCCAGAGGGCAGGGATTTTGGCTGTCTGATGACTGCCATGCCCACAGCACTTAGGACGGGGTGAGGCAGGCACAAGGCACTCACTGAACACCTCGTAAGAGGAGAAAGGAAGAGAAGTCCCTGCGCCCAAGCTCCCATTCTATGCCCGTAATGCAAGATGGCCAGGGCCCTCCCTCTCCCGGGACTCTTCTGGGGACGCGGGGAACCCTTACATGAAGCATAAGCACTCAGCCCGGGGAATGGAACACGTCAGAAACTCTAATTCTGAACATCACAAACGTCCACCACAGGAGAACGGATGGCAAACTGTGCCGTGGTCGCACAATGGAACACGACTCGGCCATCAAGAGACCTGCTGACCCTCACAGCCAACGGGGCTCGACTCCAAGACCCCACGGGAGCCGGAAGCCAGACACAAAGGGCACAGCCTGCAGATTCCACGGCCACCATCCCGACCCCAGCAGGACTTCTCTCTGATGACAGAGCTGAGGAAAGTCATGGGTCGGGGCTGGGAACTGACGGGCAAGGGGCACCCTGGGGCACAGAACGTCCCAGATCTTCACCTGGAGTGAGGCACAGATAGGCACCAATGGCACTGTGCACGCCACTGTGTATAACGACACTGCAATAAATATTATTCCTAAATGTTTCTTTCAGCAGTGATTAAAAGGGGACTGTCACTGTCCACCCATCCACGCACGGGTTACCCAGCTCAGCCCGACAGCCAACACCTCCTCCGGCTTCGGGCGACCCAGCCCCACCGCCCTTCCTCCCACAACCCTGTGCCCACGAGGCCCTGGCCTCCGTGCGGTCTGTGGCCAAAGAGACAAGTGCCCTTCACACATGCCCTCACCGCCTCCCCCGGCCCCGCTACCAAAAAAGATTCCAGAAGAGGAAGCTACTGTCCGCTCTCAGGTTCCAAAGCAAAGAGGCTGGGTTGGGGTACAGGGAAGGAGAAGGCTCCCCATAGCAGGAGACAGGCCCTGAACAACGAAAGAGGGACCTCTCCGGGCATTCAACAGTGTCCCCACACACCACGGGCATGGGGACACTGCAGCTGTTGAAGGGGAATCCCTGAGAGACCCAGCACTGGGCCAGGTTTGGGATATGTACCACACATCAAAAGGCAGAGCCCCTATAAGCCGCCTCCCTGCTCAGAACCCTCCGGCATAGGTTCCACCTCCAGGAGAAAACCATAATCTTCACCGCGGCCCTCAAGGCCCTCCATGACCTCACCTCCTGCCCCAACTCCCCTCTCCCTCATCTCTTCCCACACTGGCCCCCTTGATGCTTCAGAAACACATGTGACAGGCTCCTACCACAGGGCCTTTGCACTGACTGTCCCCTCTGCCTGGAACACCTGTCCCCAGGTTTCTACATGACTCATTCCCTCCCCTCCTACAGGTCTTTGCCCAAACGTCACCTCCTCAGTGAAGCCCACCCTACTGAAGGCTGCCACATCTTCCTAGCACCCCATGCCTCGGGCCTGGCTTCATATTTTTCAGTAGCATATATCGCCTGATCACTCCATAAACTTTTATTATTTCATATCTTCACTGTAAAGGGGGCATGGGAGAGGACTTTCAGTCTGTGTTGTGCACTGCTATATTCTCCATATCTGGTCCATGGTAGGTGCTCAACAAACTACTTGTAGGACCAAGGAGGTAAACCTAGGAAAACCAATCACAGGATTGGCTTTCTTTTAATTTTCTTCATCATTTCAATTTTCTCCTACGAATATGCATTCTCTTTACAATTTGAGGAGCACAATCATAAATCTGATTTTAAAAGCCAGGTTGGAACCATCTTGAAATCGGTGGGCCTCATGCCCAAGGGATGGGCATAAGAATGGCTGTTGAGCTTCTGAAAGCACAAGAGCCTGGGAGGCGCACTAGAAGCACTAGTCTGACTCAAGAGGTCTGGGAAAGCAGGGAAGAGGCTTTCTTTCAATCTCCCAGATAACCCTGAGGGCTCAGGGGAACTCAGGAGCAGGCAGGTGGTCAGGGAGAGCTGCTCAGAGGAGTCAGGGAGGATCCTGAGTGTGACTTAGACAAACAAGTGGGATCAGGCTAAACTGAGATGAGAAGGGAAGAGAAATGGGAGACCTGGATCTGCAAGTCTTTGGAGTCACAAGGCAACCCAGATGGAATCTTGAGGCCTCGGAATCCCCTGGGGCACTCTGAAATGCAGATTCCTGGGCCCTGGTCCTCAGAGGTTCCCTGCAAGGGGACCAGGAGGAGCCCAGGCATCTGCATGTTTTTTGTTGTTGTTGCTGTTGTTTTAAGTTGGAGTCTCACTCTGCCACCCAGGCTGGAGGGCAGTGGCACGCCCACGGACACCGCAGCCTCGACCTGCTGAGCTCAGGCGATCCTTCCACCCCAGCCTTCCAAGAGGGCTACCACACCCAGCTAATTTTTTTATTTATTGTAGAGACGAGGTCTCACCAAGTTACCCAGGCTGGTCTCGAACCAGCAGGCTCAAGCAGTCCTCTCGCCTCAGCCTCCGAAAGTGCTGGGATTACAGGCCTGAGCTACCGCACCCGACAATGTCTGCATGTTTATTTAACATGCCTCCCCTCCCTGGGTGCCAGAGACAGGCATGGGTTTAGGAAGTGCTGGTGGAGTTGCCTTTCTACACAGTAAAAAAATTGGAAGTCGCACTCCAGCAGCACCACTGCTAACATTTGGTGTGTCACCTTCAGGGGCTCCTGTTCAGGGGCACGGCTGTCACTGCAGGTTATCCACAAGAACGCCCTGCACACACGGATCTGGGATCCCCCACACGTAGGACTTTCTCAGAAGTGGAACCCCTGCTGTTCCGGGAATCGCTGTTGGAGTCTGTCTGTCTCTCTCTGTCTCTGTCTCTGTCTCTCTGTCTCTCTGTCTCTCTCTCTCTCTCTCTCTCTCTCTCTCTCTCTCTCTCTCTCTCTCTCTCTCTCTCTCTCTCTCTCTCTCTCTCCATCTCTACTGAATGTTTCACCAAAGCATCTGCAGCACTGACTGCCCTAAAAGGATGTCACCAGCCATGGGTTCGAGCCTCCCGAGCAGTGCAGCCTCACCACACACAGAGGAGCCTGAAACCAAAGGAGCAAACCGCTCACGGCCAGTGCTTAGTGGCCATTGCTTCAAGCCGGACACCACCCAGCACTTTATCATTACACACCTGTCCACTCTTCACATGGCCTGTGAGCGGGGAGCAATGCCACTTGCTGGCATGCATAGCGTTCAGCAGGTGTGTTCTGTTGTTGTTTTTATTTTTGAGTCAGGGTCTCACCCTGTCACCCAGGCTGGAGAACAGTGGCACAGTCACGGCTCACCACAGCCTTGACCTCCTGGGCTCGGGTGATTCTCCA